TTATCATAACTAATAAATACAATCCTCAAAATTACAGAGAAATATACTTTCATTACTACCACAATCCTAAAAGTCCTTTTTCTTTAAAGTAAAGAAAAATCAATTTACAACTAAGTCAATCATATAACCAATGAAATAATTATGCTCTTCTTTTAATTTTGTATCAAATAGCTGTCAGCTAAATGCTCAATAATAAGTTTGCCTATGCTTTGAGAGCTTTGAGTATTTTTTTAGGTAATCTAGTACGTTTGAATCCTAAAAAAAAAATTCAATAATTAAAAAAAAAGTGTTATGAGAGCACAGTCTAAAAAATTGCTACGCATTGCATGTAGCAACGCTTGGTTTGCTTAATGGTAGTTTTATTATTACTTATTAATCTAATTGATCAAATAAATTTTATAATTATAAGCATGTTTGTAATTTATAAACACAAGATTAATCTTATTGCATATCAACTATTAGATGATAGAATAAAAAAGAATATACTAGAAAGGGTTTAAGAAAGTTTATAAATTATAAACATGTTTATAAATTATAAATACCAGATTAATCTAAATGAATACCAACCGTTAGATGGTAGAATATCCTAGAATATCCAAGCATATTCTAGGTATATTCACTACCATCCCAGTCCCCCTATAGGTTTGCTTAAGCAAACCAAAAATGACTTATAGCTCTTCACACCTTAAAAAACACGAGATGGTTATAAAGCTAAAGTTTCAATTTGCTTTCAAAAGTCTAACCAATTTGTTTGTAAAGGATCAGCCCTAAAGGCTATGTAGGGCTATTTGCCAAAGAAGTCCAACTATATCAGCTTTTCTGTATTAGTTTATAAGTTATAATTAAACATAGCAGAAATTTTACAAGAGGTACAGAAATTACTGCTGTTGTTATTCACCAGGTGATGAGCAAAGAAATATCCTTAGCATGGCCTTGCAACTCATGGATATGATGGTCTAGAGTATATGGTGGTGGTCATAGGACAATGGGACGAGCATGGTGGTCTCAAGGAAAAGGTCACAAGGTTGTGAACAAAGAAAGAGATTTTTTTCTGGTTCACAGTATAGGGGGTGTTCTCATCCTTCAAGTTGAAAACAGTCTCCTATAAAGATGTTCGTGCATACACATATCTAAGTGCCCAGAATAGTTGGGTCTTAACTCTTGCTTTAGCGTGCCACACAGCTAAAGATGGGTTTGTTATGCTTTCGTGGTAACTAAAAGTATGAACCTAATTTTTTCTTTATTATATACTTGAGGTGAAGAGGATCACGTCCTTGCTTGGAGTCCTTGCGACGTCTCTATGTGGTTTGCAAGCGCAAGGTCTACTTCTCCCTCACAAATTCATGGCAACCACTTCCTAACAAGGACCATGACCCCCAGCTTGTCAGGATTTCAGAGCTTGGAAAGATGTATATGATGCAGAAAAGATACAATGTAAGGCTCAATTTGTGCAAAGCCATTCCAATTCCAACAGTACTCCAGATGTTGGTTTGCTTCCACTGGTACAAGGGCAGGTTGTATAGGATTATAAAGATGACATAATCAAACTCTTGGTTTGGGATGAGGACCGGGATCAGAGTGGTAGAAGCTTGATTCACATTCAATGTACTGCTATGGTGTCCATCAGCCGAGTGGTGGCACGAGGCCCGGAGGGCTGGCCGAGCAGAGACTCCACTGGAGCGCTGAGTGAAGCGCTGGTGTGAGAAGGTGCTGGCAGAGGCACTGAGAGGAGGCACTGAGCAAAGGCAGATTTCTGTCGTGAATACGACAGAGTGCTTGGATGCAGAGGGAGAGTGATCTCAGATTGATGTCATCGAGATCAAGAGGGAGTGTTGAGTATATGCTCTCTATGACATGATCCTAGGTGGCAGTAGTGCCACTTCACTGATCCAGGTGTAGGCTAGAGGCATGTCTCTTCATTATGTATATATATCTATGATATTATATACAATTATCCTTGGAGTCATCCACCATCGTAGCTTCCGCTCTTCTTCTCTTCACTTCATCTCCACAGGTGCATGCTACTTCTGCATGAATCAGCTGCACAACGAAGATGGTTTATGACTTGGAAGACAGCAGCTGGTACTACCACACTATCCACCACTATCGCTTCCTAATTGGTTTGGGGGCGATACAACAATGTTGTTCTGGATCTTGCCTTCACTGTTGTGTGGACTAGCAATATCCATTTGCTGCAGACTTGAAATTCTACTATTCAAATACACAATTTCAAAATCATATAGAATCTATTTGGGCAATATAACACTTCATTTCTTCTCCATGTTGTGCTCTTGAATAGACCTTAAACCCTAAATATAATTAATTAATTATTAATGATTTAATTAACTATAAAAGAGCTCGTTTTAGAAGTGGTTTTGAAGTATTTGGAGCAGGTAAAGAATTCCTTGAAACAGAGCTCCAACACTACAGGAGCAGTAAAATATTCTGGTATAACAACTTTCGAGAGAGTTAGATTGAAAAAAGCTTCACAAAAAATTTAAATATACCAAAATGCTAGTTTAACCACTCATCAGTAAAAATTGTCGTATGGCGCTGAGTTTTTAGGATCCATCGCGATGGCATTGCAAGCAGCACCAACACTCCTATCCACTCCAACAGAGTGGATCTTACAGGCACTCACAAAGCATCCCCAGTTGGAAACATCTGGAACAAATGGCATTGTGTTGATGAGATCCTCAGCATCATCCAAGAGCCCAGCTCCCGCAAGAACACCGATCAAGCAGCAGTAGTGATCTCGCTCAGGACTTATACCGTAGTCAAAAACCATTGAAGCCAAGGTATCTCTAGCAGCAATTACCAGCCCAAGGTGGCAGCAAGCAATCAAAAGGCCCATGAAACTCAGCTCGTCTGGCTTGAATCCTTCCAGATTCAAGACGTCAAAGAGATGAATGGACTCAGCACAATGTAGATTCTGGGCAAACGACACGATAAGAACGTTCCAGGTCACTATGTTTGGCTGTAAACAGCGTCTAAACAATGCCCAAGCATCGTCTAAGTGTCCATTTTGCCCATACGCTCCGATCATGCAATTCCACGTGATAATGTTTGGAACTTCTACACTGTCAAAAAAGCACTTTGCTTCGTTTACATGCCCTCGTTGGGCATATGCAGTGATCATAACATTCCAAGGAACGCTGTCTCTCTGGGGCATCAGATCAAACACTCTTCTAGCTTTTGCAAGATTATCTTGATTTCAAAGTGTTGCTAGGAAAACTGTCCACGACACTAGGTTTCTTTGAGGCATTGAATCAAAGAGATTGTGTACTTGATCGATTTCACCGCACTGGGAGTTTGCTCGGAGCATTCCAGTCCACGCTATAACATCGTGCTGTGGCATTCTCTCATATGTTTATCTTGCTAAATTAGTGCAGCCATGCTGCGCAAAGGAGTTGATAAGTGTTACCCACGACACGCAATCTCTCTGCGTCATCCTCGCAAAGTACTTTCGTGCTCCATCAAGATCTCCGCACTGGGCATGCGCAACGATCATAGAGTTCCATAGAACTGGATTGCTCAGTCTTTTGTGAGAATCATGATCTCGTTCCATTCTATCAAACAGCTTCTTTTCTTCAAGAAAATCTCCAGCTTGAGCATATGCCGAAATAATCACATTCCACGACACAGAGTCTCTCTCAGGCATGTTTTCAAATTGGTTTCTAGCCTGGCTGATCATTCCAGCTTTCGCAAACCCAGTGACAATAGCATTCATGCAAACAACGTCCCACTCTGGAATTCGATCGAAAACAAGCCTCGCTTCATGAATTTGCCCGATTTTGGCATTTGCCGAAAGAAGCACATTCCAAGTCACTACATTCTTCCCGGGCATGGAATCGAAGACGCGCTTGGCCTCGTGGAGCTGCTGGTTGTGAATGTGGGCTTGGAGCAGGATTTTCCATGAAAAGGAGTTGGCGGTGAGAATGGAATCAAACACGCTGCGTGCATCGCCAGAGCTCCCGCATTTGCCATAGATTTGGACGAGGAGATTCGCAATGTAGACGTTGTTCTTGTAATGGGTTCCTTCGATCAAAGCGTGGATCTTCCGAGCATCGCTCAGATATTTCGCGTTGCCACAGCACCTGACGAGACAAGCGTATGATTCCAAGTGATCATCCCGGCGAAAGATGTTCTTGGCAACCATGTAAAGCTTCCATCCAGGGTTTAAGCTATGCTATCAATGTCTCGGGGATCTCTGGCGCACCACCGCGCCAGGGCTTGCAGGATCCAGCCCTGATCGAGGATGACAGTGGATGGGATGGAATGTGGGCATCGCTGGGTGAACCAGAGGATTCAAGGGTCCAGTCTCCTCGATCGATGGCGATACATGGCAGCTTTCATGCAGCACACAGGAGGCGTTGGCTTCCACTGGGATTTCTCTCCACCATTTGCCATCGTGTAAGTTCTCGACCTTTTCTCTTTGCTGGATTTTCGTGGATCAATCGTTGTACTAACAAGATCCGCTTTCACTGCTAGAGGGATTCCAGTAGACTCGGCTTCCACTCGCAAAGAAGCTTAATCCCTGCTCTTGTAAGCCATCGTCGAGGATAGCTCGTCGAATCCAGGCGGAGGATTTCCAGTCTTGCGGCCACCTCTACCGCCAGGGCCTCCGCCACCGCCTTCTGCTAGTAGTGTCGCTGGTAGTGGCGGTGGTGGTGGTGGTGGTGGCGGTGGTGGTGGTGGCGGTGGTGGAACCGCAGCTGCTAATTCTTTTTATGGACAGTGGGTACATCCTAATCAAGCTGCTCATCAAAAAACTTTGCATTATAAGAAGGCTAGCGTTGCGGCCCCTTCACAGCAAAGGCGTCATAGAAGCTAGCTAGACACGAGAGAGAGAGAGAGCGAGTGATTTAACACTCGTCTTTGTTTTAATGCGGTAAAACAAAGCCCTAGCTGGGGTTTAGTGTTTTAAGTTGCCTGCATTTGGCGGGAATGATGCGTGCGAGGTTCTTTCTTTGGATTTTGGTGATATGATGCGAGATCCGATAGAAATGGACGAGACTTATTGATCGCCTGGCGGAGTGGCCTTTGCTCGTGGTTGGAGCTTCCGCCCGCGCTTTAGCCTTTAAAATGGAGCCGCGTGGGGAGAAGATTTCCCTGGAGCGATGCTTGGGATGGAGCGAGTCTTTTTCTCGCTTGCTGCTCTTGCTGCTCTTGCTGCTGCCGCAACCAACGAGGTGATCTTTTCCTTTCTCCGGCTTGATAGATTTCTAAGAAGTTGGGTGTTTTTGGCAGCCTGTTAGCAAATATATTGTCTACTTGGGGCACACTGGGAGCTCTAAACCGGAGGCTGTGACATCGTCTCATCACCAAATTCTTGCCTCTGTCAAGGGGAGGTACGAAACAATCCTCTTGCAACAATTTTTCTTTTCTCCTCACTGTGTTTGATGTTTAGCAAGGAATCGTCGCTGGTTCACAGCTACAAGCACGGTTTCAATGGCTTCTCCGCCTTCTTGACTGAAGCCGAAGCCGACTCCATTGCAAGTATGCCTCTCTTTGAAGCTTTCGTCACGAGTTTTGACGTGTGGTTTATCAGAGCTTCCTGGCGTGGTTAAGGTTTTCCGTTCCAAAAAACTCAGTCTCCACACAACACGCTCCTGGGATTTTCTCGACAGCTTTTCTGGTGGTCCGCACATTCAACTCAACTCTAGCTCCGGATCGGATGTCATTGTGGGAGTCCTGGATACTGGTAATCATGGAAAAAGCTTACTTCCGAGTTAATTATCCACTTCCAGGTGTTTGGCCGGAGTCCAAGAGCTTCGACGACGCTGGGATGGGCCCGGTGCCAAAGAGATGGAAAGGAGTATGTGACAATTCCAAAATCACCAATCATTCACACACGATCCACTGCAACAAGTAAGATCACTCTTGGGTTCATCTCTCAAGCATTGTGATTTGTTTCAGGAAAATTGTAGGAGCTCGATCTTATGGACACTCGGACGTGGGGAGCCGTTATCAAAACGCTCGGGACGAAGAGGGGCATGGAACTCACACGGCCTCCACCATCGCTGGAAGCCTGGTAAAAGACGCCACTTTTTTAACAACTCTTGGAAAAGGAGTTGCTCGAGGGGGCCATCCATCCGCAAGGCTTGCGATCTACAGGGTTTGCACGCCAGAATGTGAGGGTGACAACATTCTCGCAGCATTCGACGACGCAATTCACGACGGTGTAGATATTCTCTCGTTATCGCTGGGTTTAGGTACCACCGGATATGACGGGGATTCCATATCCATTGGTGCTTTCCATGCAATGCAGAAGGGAATTTTTGTATCATGTTCTGCTGGAAATGGAGGTCCAGGCTTCCAAACCATCGAGAACTCGGCTCCATGGATTTTGACAGTGGGAGCAAGCACTATCGACAGGAAGTTCTCGGTCGACATCACACTTGGAAACTCTAAAACCATTCAGGTACTTGATTGTTTTTCGTGAATTTTTCCTTTCTCATGTATATATAACAGGGAATAGCAATGAATCCCAGGCGGGCTGATATATCAACGCTTATTTTGGGTGGTGATGCTTCTTCTAGATCTGATCGAATAGGACAGGCCAGGTGATAAAACTAACACTGTTTCAGCTGAATGAAAGCTTATCACTAAAATATACTTGGCATTAAGCCTATGTGCAGGACGCTTTTTGGATGGGAAGAAGGTCAAGGGAAAGATTGTCTTGTGCAAATACAGTCCGGGCGTTGCATCATCCCTGGTCATCCAGCGACATCTTAAAGAACTCGGTGCCTCTGGAGTAATTTTGGGGATTGAAAATACGACAGAGGCAGTGTCCTTCCTTGATCTTGCTGGAGCTGCTGTCACTGGGAGCGCCTTGGACGAGATTAATGCCTACCTGAAGAACTCGAGGTACACAAGCTTTCATGCATTTTTGGTTTGAGACTTCTTGACGTCTTTTAAACTTTTCTCAAGGAATACTACAGCGACCATCTCTCCAGCACATACGATCATACAAACCACTCCAGCCCCAATCATTGCGGATTTCTCATCGAGGGGACCTGATATTACCAACGATGGCATTCTTAAGGTATCTGGAGGAGAGTCTTACTAATATAAACTGGGACTCTATCTTTACAGCCCGATCTCGTTGCTCCTGGTGTGGACATACTAGCTGCATGGAGTCCCGAGCAGCCCATCAACTATTATGGCAAGCCAATGTACACCGACTTCAACATAATCTCTGGAACTTCCATGGCGTGTCCTCACGCCAGTGCTGCCGCGGCCTTTGTCAAATCCAGGCACCCGAGTTGGAGTCCAGCAGCCATCAAGTCGGCTCTCATGACAACAGGTACCAAAGAGAACAAAAAAAAAAAGTTTTCCCTCTTTGATCGTTTGTTTGGTGTTTGTAGCACGCTTCCTGGACAACACAAAGAGCCCAATCAAAGACCACAATGGGGAAGAAGCTTCACCATTTGTGATGGGAGCCGGACAGATTGATCCAGTCGCAGCGCTTAGTCCTGGCCTGGTCTACGACATATCTCCGGATGAATACACGAAGTTTCTATGCACGATGAACTACACAAGGGATCAGCTGGAGCTCATGACTGGAAAGAACTTATCTTGTGCACCCCTGGACTCCTACTTGGACTTGAACTATCCATCCATCGCGGTTCCCATCGCTCAGTTTGGCGGGCCAAATTCCACCAAAGCGGTGGTGAACAGGAAAGTTACCAACGTTGGAGCTGGCAAGTCGGTCTACAACATTTCAGTAGAAGCTCCGGCGGGAGTGACTGTCGCGGTGTTTCCTCCACAGCTCAGGTTTAAATCCGTGTTCCAGGTACTAAGTTTCCAGATCCAGTTCACAGTTGATTCATCCAAGTTCCCACAAACGGTGCTATGGGGCTATGGAACACTGACATGGAAGAGTGAGAAGCACTCGGTCAGGAGTGTTTTTATTCTTGGCTTGAACTGAGTTGAAGAGATGGCAGTCGACATGATAAGAATGCTCCAGGTCACAAGATTTGGCGGCAAAACAGTGCGTCAAGCTTCAATCCCTTTCATTTCCAAGATGCCCTCTTTTGGCATAATAATGCAGTACCCAAACTTTCTACAAAACACTCGTTTTTTAATAAATTTTCTTTAAAACTTTAATTTACTAAGGAATCAAAAGTGGGAAATATCTTTATCTAGAATTTGTTACAATCTACTGCTGCTAATATACTTCAAGCATATTAAGATGTTATAATATAACATTTTGATTAATTTAATACTTTAATTTAGTGTACTAACAATTTTGTGATTATCATTATACTATTAAAGGTTTTTAGTTGTTTATACTAGTTGCATCAGCAATTTTTAGTCATTTACAAAACATTATAAAATTTACTTTTATAAAATGTTTTTCTTTTTTAAGTGAAGAGCTTATATATAAATCTAGCTTATATAGATTATATATATTATACTTATATCATTTTATTATGTTATTTAATAATTATCTTTAAGGTTATTTTTCTCAAAATTAGTTTTTCAGAGATATATAATTTCATTACTACCACAATAAAGTCGTTTTTGTTTAACTGATAATAGTAAAGAGTCAATTATATAACCAATGAAATAATTATGCTCTTCTTTTAATTTTGTATCAAATAACTGTCAGCTAAATGCTCAATAATATGTTTGCCTTGAGAGCTTTGAGTATTTCTTTAGGTATTCTAGTACGTTTGAAGCCTAAAGAAAAAAAAATCAATAATACACATTGAAAGCACAGTCTAAAAATGACTTATAATAAGTAGTTTCACTCTTCACACCTTAAATAACTCACATGATGGTTATAAAGCTAAAGTTTCAATTTTCTTTCAAAAGTCTAAAAGGACCTCACATCGTTTGTAAAGGATCAGCCCTAAAGACTATTTGCAAAAGAAGTGCATCTGTATCAGCTTTTCTGCAGTAGTTTATAAAGTAAGTTATAATTCAACATAGCAGAAATTCTACAAGAGGTACATAAATTACTGCTGTTGTTATTCACCAGGTGATGGCAAAGATTGGTATGGCCTTGCAACTCATGGATATGATGTTCTAGAGTATATGGTGGTTCTCATAGAAGGACAATGGGAAGATCTTGTACAACTTGAGCATGGTGGTCAAGGAAAAGGTAACGGTTTACACAAGGTTTGTATTGCCTGTGAACAAAGAAAAAGAGAAATTTTTTCTGGTTGGGCTTCTTCTTGGGTTGTTCTCATGAAAACAGTCTCCCATAGTGAAGTGGGTTGGGAAGTCGTGCATACACAGGGATCTAGGTGCCACACAGTAAACTAAAGTATGAACTTAATTTTTTCTTTATTATATACTTGGTGCTGGTCCGCTCTTGCAACGGGGAACAAGCCATATGGATCACTTGTCTCAGAGTGTAACACGTCTTATTTTAGCTCAAGGATCCTCCCACTCAATGAAACTTATTGTGGATTATGATGCTGAAGCTCTCTACGTGGTTCGCAAGTGCAAAAGTCTACTCCTCCCTCACAAATCCATGGCAACCACTTCCTAACAAGGACCATGACCCCCAGCTTGTCTGGATTTCAGAGCTTGGCAAGACGTATATGATGCAGAAAAAATGCAATCTAAGGCTCAATTTGTGCAAAGCCATTCCAATTCCAACAGTACTCCAGATGTTGGTTTGCTTCCACTGGTACAAGGGCACGTTGTATAGGATTATAAAGATGACGTAATCAAATTCTTGGTTTGGACGAGGACTAGGATCAGAGTTGGTAGGAGGGTTCACATCAATGTACTGCCATGGTGTCCAACAGCCGAGTGGTGATAGGTTCTTCATCCGCAGGTGCAAGCTACTTCTGCATGAATCAGCTGCGCAACAAAGATGGTTTATGACTTGGAAGAGAGCAAGTGGTACTACCACACTATCCACCACTATGGCTTCCTAACTGGTTTAGTTTGCACTAGGGGGCGATACAAAAATGTTGTTCTGGATCTTGCCTTCACTGTCTAGCAATATCTATTTGCTGCAGCTCCCTCCCCAACTTGAAATTCTACTACTAGAATACACAATTGCAAAAATCATATAGAATTTATTCTGGCAATCAAATAACACCTATTCAATTGTTGTTTATGGGAGGTATGCATTGCTTCAATTCAAGCTGCATTTGTGCAGGCCTGAGGGGGGACATTTCTTCTGCTCTTGACCACCTTGATGTTGTGAATAAACCTTAAGCCCTAAACATAATTAATTAATGATTAATGATTTAGTTAATTATACAAGAGCTCGTTTTAGAAGTGGTTTTGAAGTATTTGGAGCAGGTAAAGAATTCCTTGAAGCAGAGGAGCAGTAAAATATTCTGGTATAACAACTTTCGAGAGAGTTAGATTGAAAAAAGCTTCACAAAAAATTTAAATATACCAAAATGCTAGTTTAACCACTCATCAGTAAAAATTGTCGCAAAATCCACGTATGGTGCTGAGTTTTTAGGATCCATCGCGATGGCATTGAAAGCAGCACCAACACTCCTATCCACTCCAGCAGAGTGGATCTTACAGGCACTCACGAAGCATCCCCAGTTGGAAACATCTGGAACAAATGGCATTGTGTTGATGAGATCCTCGGCATCATCCAAGAGCCCAGCTCCCGCAAGAACACCGATCAAGCAGCAGTAGTGATCTCGCTCAGGGCTTATATCGTAGTCAAAAACCATTGAAGCCAAGGTATCTCTAGCAGCAATTACCAGCCCAAGGTGGCAGCAAGCGATCAAAAGGCCCATGAAACTCAGCTCGTCTGGCTTGAACCCTTCCAGATTCAAGACTTCAAAGAGATGAATGGACTCAGCACAATGTAGATTCTGGGCAAACGACACGATAAGAACGTTCCAGGTCACTATGTTTGGCTGTAAACAGCGTCTAAACAATGCCCAAGCATCGTCTAAGTGTCCATTTTGCCCATACGCTCCGATCATGCAATTCCACGTGATAACGTTTGGAACTTCTACACTGTCAAAAAAGCACTTTGCTTCGTATACATGCCCTCGTTGGGCATATGCAGTGATCATAACATTCCAAGGAACGCTGTCTCTCTGGGGCATCAGATCAAACACTCTTCTAGCTTTTGCAAAATTATCTTGATTGCAAAGTGTTTCTAGGAAAACTGTCCACGACACAAGGTTTCTTTGAGGCATTGAATCGAAGAGATTGTGTACTTGATCGATTTCACCGCACTGGGAGTTTGCTCGGAGCATTCCAGTCCACGCTATAACATCGTGCTGTGGCATTCTCTCATATGTGTCTCTTGCTAGATTAGTGCAGCCATGCTGCGCAAAAGAGTTGATAAGTGTTGCCCACGACACGCAATCTCTCTGCGCCATCCTCGCAAAGAACTTTTGTGCTCCATCAAGATCTCCGCACTGAGCATGCGCAACGATCATAGAGTTCCATAGGACTGGATTGCTCAGTCTTTTGTGAGAATCATGGTCTCGTTCCATTCTGTCAAACAGCTTCTTTGCTTCAAGAAAATCTCCAGCTTGAGCATATGCCGAAATAATCACATTCCACGACACAGAGTCTCTCTCAGGCATGTTTTCAAATTGGTTTCTAGCCTGGATGATCATTCCAGATCTCGCCAACCCAGTGACAATAGCATTCATGCAAACAACGTCCCACTCTGGAATTCGATCGAAAACAAGCCTCGCTTCATGAATTTGCCCGATTTTGGCATTTGCCGAAAGAAGCGCATTCCAAGTCACTACATTCTTCCCGGGCATGGAATCGAAGACGCGCTTGGCCTCGTGGAGCTGCTGGTTGTGAATGTGGGCTTGGAGCAGGATTGTCCATGAAAAGGAGTTGGGGGTGAGAATGGAATCAAACACGCTGCGTGCATCGCCAGAGCTCCCGCATTTGCCATACATTTGGACGAGGAGATTCGCAATGTAGACGTTGTTCTTGTAATGGGTTCCTTCGATCAAAGCGTGGATCTTGCGAGCATCGCTCAGATCTTTCGCGTTGCCACAGCACCTGACGAGACGAGCGTATGATTCCAAGTGATCATCCCGGGGAAAGATGTTCTTGGCAACCATGTAAAGCTTCCATCCAGGGTTTAAGCAATGCTATCAATGTCCAGCGCTGGTCGAGGATGAAGATTGTATGGCAGTGGATGTGATGCGGGGCTGCGAGCGGTGAGAGTGGCGGTGTGGTGGGATTTCGAGGACTGCGACATCCCAGCTGGGATTCCTGCGACGAACGTGGGGATTGCTGGGCTGTGAACCAGAGGATTCAAGGGTCCAGTGTCGATCGACGCTTTTGGCGATACATGGCAGCTCTCGCGGAGCACACAGGAGGCGTTGGCTTCCACTGGGATTTCTCTCCACAATTTGCCATCGTGTAAGTTTTCGATTTGCTAGATTTTCGTGGATCAATCGTTGTGATTTTTGTTTCTCTTCCAGCTCGCAAGAATTTGGCCTCCGATCGAACTCCCATGCTGGTTTTGGTGCTGTGGACTGTCGATCATCCGCCACCAGCGCATCTTTTCATCTCCACGGACAGTGATCTCTCCAGTGCGTTGCACTCGCTGCGGATGAAGAACTACAACGTTCTTCTGGCATCTCCTTGCCGCTAAGCTCGCTAGAGGAGACAATCGTGAGCAGCATCCATCGCTCCTCCCGGGAGTTTTCGCAGGATATAAATTCGTCACAGCCACCATCTTCTCCTCCACTATCATTTACGCCGCCAACGCCACCGCCACCTTTGTCGCCATTGCTGCTAAGTCCTCTGCCGTCACCAAGTTCACACTAGAGAGAAACAGGATTCTTTTTAGGACTTCCACAAGAATATCTGCGAACTGCTTTGCAAAAGCGAAATAATCCTGAGTAACAAGATCCACTTTGTTGAGCACCACTGCTAGAGGCATTCCACAGTATCACAGGATCCAAGCGCGGCCTATTGAGTGAGAACAGCGCCAACTGGTGGATCCGAAGTCTCCCATCTTCAATCATCCCACGTTTGTCAGCATGAAAGCTTGCACAGCAAGCAACAAAACCTAATTGAAGAAAAGTCGCACACGCCAAACCCTAACCTAAGAATCTTCTCGAATATTTCCGGAATAATCTTTAACAACTTCGCTTAAAATAAAATGACCCCCCCTAGATTTGGTCGGGGTTTTTGAAAATTACTTAAGAATTGGCCTTTTTTTTCTTGCGAATCCAAAATACTAATAATTTTCCCATAAAAAATAAGGGTAAGTACATTAAGTTATTGCGCAAATAGGGAAAACGTAAATTTTGCACTTTAATTTTCGGGTAACTCTTGGTCCAGAGCTAAACTCTTATAAACATCTCTAAACATGCTCATTTAATTAACCACCAATGAACGGCAAAGATATCTTTACCAGCACTCCCCCCTAATTTTCTTTCGAAAATAAAAAACTAAAAGTAAAGAAGATATTATCAAACACTATTTTTTCAATGTTTGTTTCTTTTCTTATTTTCTACTATTAATTAACTTACAACTCAATCACACAATATTTGGAGCTGGAAGAATTGAATCCAACTTAATTTCAGCAAACTGATGAGGATGGACAATTTTTATTTTCATTTCTTTTGCACTTCTTAATTTACATTTCTTAATTTGTTTCTACTCTTCTTATACACACTTCTTCGGTGTATTTGGCCCATTATATTTAGCTGAAACACATGGACATGTACACTAGTACACTATGTACTAAGCCTATGATACACACTTGTTGCTAATTCTCAACGATTTGTGCATCTGCTGGTTGATACACACACACACACTGTGTAGGGCTAGCTCCATCCACAAGAGAGCCTTGAGGCTGGGCACCAAAGGCTGGAAGAAGTCGTCACAGGGGAGAGCAAGCAGGTCACCACTCACGACAAGCTCAAAAAATCTGGAAGGAAGACGTCGCCGAGGAACTGGTGAGTACGTCGCAAGAAATAAATGCCGTTGTCACCAGCTTCCACACGTCTTCAACATGCTCTAGGAGCACAAACCCAAAGTTGGTCATGCCGCAAGCCGCCATCACCTTGCTCCCGGAACATGAGGCGGTAGTTGCTATCATCAAAGAGTTTGGGGCACCGACAAGTCTTCATAGTAAGGCTTATTATCTGAATCTGGGCGCTCCGTTTTGGGGCAGGTTTAGTCAGCATTCCCCGATTCTGCTACCAAAAAGAAATTTAAATTTAAGACAACGTGTCATCCTCCTTTTGCATAATTTTAACTTTTAAATGTTAATTTTTTCTCCGTGAAGTTCAGGTTGACGGCGGTACTTTGACGAGGCATGCTCACTCAGCGGCCCAT